ATTTATTAAGATCTGTTATATCTTCTTTTATTTTTTTTAATTTTTTGCTTTATTTCTTTGAGAATCTTTAATACTTTTTTATTGCATTTTCTTTTTTGATTTCTTGAGATTGGTGATTTCTTGGTTTCTGTTCTAATTTAGTTACTGCTATATATAACCCTAGTTTTCTGGAATTGTGATTTTATTTCAACAAATTTCTGATTGCTCCTGTATATACTAGTCTATATTTAATATATAGTTTGCTAAATTGTTTGACTTGATCAAGTGATATTTCTTTCATTATACCTAGTATTCCTTTAAAGTATAGTTAGCTATCAGGTGTTCAATATTATTACAAAGGTTACAAAGCTTAGTTCTGATATTCAATTACTATTTCTCTTATCTAAAAGTCTTTTTTTATAATAGCTTCTTTAGTGACTTTATTTTCAAAGCTAATTACTATAAATATTTTCCTTTTATATGAGAAATATCTAGGAATATAATAGGTTTTTGCTCAAACTTGTTTGCATATTTATTTTAAATCAAAGGCAGTTGTATTAGAAGATGAATTGATGAGTTTAATGATTATGATACTTTTTTTTTTTATATGTTTCATATTCCACAGTATATCGAAAACTCTTTCTGAGTCATATCTAAGTAGAATACTCAACTTGATAATTATTGTCTCTTTGTTTTCTTTGTTAGTATAGATTTTTTTTTCTATTTGTTATATTTATTTAATGACTATAGTTATATTGGTGATCTTTTTATATTTAATAAATGCTTGTTATACTTCATAGATTTAACTTTTAGGGAACACTCCATATTATAATACTGTTCTTCTTTTTTTATATCAGAAATGTTATCTTTATATGCTCTAAATATACATTGTCAATATTGGATAAAATTATATGCATATCTTATCTATAGCTTGTTTATCTTCAAAAAGGGCTATAATATATTTATTTTTATTTTTTCTTTTGTAAAAAATCACTATTAAACCTTTGAGGAGTCAATGTTCCTAATAAAAAAAATGATTTTTTGACTTGTTATTCTGCTTAAAACTATGCTTACTTTGATTCCAGTCTTGATTTTTTCTTTTTCAAATTTGATTTTTTTATTAATAAAAGTTCTGGATCATGATTTTTCAAAAGTATTCATTGGTCTTCTTTTTTCTTTATGAGCTGTTTGCCAATTATCTTCTTGAGTTTGATTAGTCTGATGAAAATTATCTTCATTTTTTTCTACCTCCATTTTAATATTGGGGTTATCAACTTTTGTTATTATATTATTTTTTTTTGTTGCTTATCTAGAATTTTTTGAATTCTCTTATGGAATGAGGTTTTGTTGATAGTTGGATTTAATAAAATTTCCTGTTTCAATTATTTGCTTTAGGATATATTGTCTATTGTTTTTATGTGTTTTTTATTTCTGGGACCTTGAATAATAAATTGTTGACTTGTATTAATATTGTTTGTTTATTTCTTTGAATTGTTTTCTTCTTATAGAACTGTTTTTTTTTTGTCTTATTTAATTTCTTTTCCAGGTCCCATATTTGATTCTTTGCATATATTTCTTGTGTTACTCTTTGTTAAAAGGTTTTTATTGTGAATTATTCCACTGTATTGTTTTGTGTTCCTTAGGAGAACTTATCTCTTTTGTTAACTTTTTTTCTTCTTTTCAAAAATTATCAAAAAGGAAATTTTTTAAAAAAAAATAATTTATGTGAAAGATTCTTTTTTTTTAACTATTACTATAAATATTATAATTATATAAAAAATAAATAAATATTGCTTTATATTAACTTCTAAATACCAATTAGTATAACAAATCAACTTATTATTACAATAAAATTAATTAAATAAAGAAATAAAAAAATAAAAATCAATTATTAATTTAATTATATTATAATCTATTCAATAAAAAATTGATTAAATAAAATATTAAAAACAAATAATAATTTTTTTTACTAATTTACAATAATATTACAATAACTTGTTTTTATTAAAAAATTAATCCAAATATATAATAAATTACAAAGTTTTACAAACTAATTAACTTGTCTTTATATATAGATACTCTTAGTTGAATTTTGAAGAAAATAGTATACTTCTATAATATAATTAGATTGATTATTATCTATCAGAATAATTACTAATAGTTTGTTACTATTTATTAATCAAAAATTAATAAATTGCTAAGTTAAAGAAAAAGAAGACAATTCAAACTCTACAAAAAAAGTTCAGAAACAAAACTAAGTTCTTTTTAAAAGGGATTTAACTGATTAAAATGGTCTTTTTTTTTTGCTTAAATCTTAAAAGAAATATTTTTTATTGCTTATAACATCAAATAAATCAATTCAACTAGTCCTTATTTAAATAAGTATTAAATTAGGATATTTTAAATAAACCATTTAAACCTTAGCTATTGTTTATTGAAGTTTTGTTATTACTTAAAAAACTTAAGTAAAAAATAAAAGTTTACAATTCACTTTATCTATTATTTGATTTTTTGATATTATGAATATCTTCACTAAGGAACTTGGGATTTTAAAGCAATATTTTTAGAATATTTTTTTAATTACCAATAATATTATTAGAATATGTAAATGTAATTAATAGAAGTTTATTTATATTTAAAAACTATATATTTTATATTAACCTATTACTTTTTGTAAAAATTTATACTACTCAAAATTTAAAGCCAAATTGAAATATTGTAGATAAAATTTCCAAAAAACTATAAAAGTAAAAACTTTAAAAAAAATCAAAATAGTTAAAAAAAAAAGAAAATAAGTTTTTTTTACTATAGAAAATCTCTATAAACCTCTTGCTTCAAAGGATAGAAAGACCTTCATATACTTTACAGCTAACTCTTCTTTTTTAAAAACTTTTTTGCTTTTAGTCTCAAAAATATTATTTGACTTTTATTGACTATAAAAGTCAAGTTTTTAAGTAAAAGGGTTTGTAAAAAAAAAAAGAAAAAGAATAAAAATGATTCTTGAAATTATACTTCAAGTTGTTTTAATGAAAGTGTTAAAACTTTATTTACAAAGAAGGATAAAAACTTCTTGCAAACATTTTTTTTGTATGTGGTTAGAGAATTAACAGTATTAAAAACAAATAATAATTTTAATTACTTAAATATTTATATAGTTATATAAAAAGTGTTATTAGATCTGTGAATTAATAACACAATAGTAGTGCTCCCAAGTTACCAAGTACTGTTTCTGAGTTCAATACTACTGCAAGGCAGTATTATCTAACCGTAATACAAAAAGATCATATTCATCATATGATAAAGATTTAATCATCTTTGATTAAGATTTTGTTCAATTACAAAGTACCTAAAAATCACAAGATGCTTTAGTCAATTTTAACACTGCTTTTTGTACCATATTAAGACACCTGTAATTTCAAGGAGTATGACTAAAGGAGAAAAACAAGGCTCATGCTACCAGTGGTATAAAAGATTCCAATGAAGGAGTAAATACGTATCATGACTTTTATTGATAGAATACGAGTTTTCAGATAATAGTTGTTACATGAAGGGTTTATCTAAGTTAGCTATGAACTCTTTGATAATAACGTTATCTTTCGTTTCGCTGGTTTTTATAGCTTATTTCGCGATTTTTTTGTGAGATTTATGGTCATTATAATATTGCTTTGATATTTTTACATTGTTAAAGACCAATAACACTTTCTTTTAAGAATACATACAACTCGTATGCGCACATCACGTACGGTATTAGGAATTTATATCGCAGGCTGACTGAAATTTTTGAACGAACGATGGCTAAAAAAATAGAAATTTAAGTGGATCAAATCTCTATTCACAATTCTCACGTTAGACTCGTACTTATATGTTGCGGCATTTAACGTATTATTCGTGAAACATTTCTTTCTACCTGCAGTGGGCATATAGGTTTTTAACCAAAACCATCATTTAATTTATTTTACAAGATAAAAAAAAAAAAAATAGACAAAAACAATAAACCTAAATACAAAAAATCATTCCTTTCATAACGTAATGCAAAATTATCCAACATCCACCTTTGTTGATTTCGGATCTCACCTTGCCTGAAAGTGCTTCTAATACGTATTATTATTCATCACTTTCCTGTTACCCTTTCTGTCGGCTCAAAGTAAATACCAATTAATTGCTTTCTTTTTAATTTATCGTTTCAAATTCACGGTGCCACTAGAATACTTCTTTGTCATCTTTCGTAGTTCCAATTCCATTTTTGTAACAATTTTCAAGATTATACTGAGCTCTCGAGTCTCCACCTTCAGCTGATTTTGTATACCACTGAAATGCTTTCTTTTCGTCTTTTATCGTTCCGATTCCGTGAAGATAACAGTCTCCGAGATTACATTGACCCGACGAATTCCCTCCCGCGGCAGATTTCGAATACCAATTAAATGCTTCCTCCTCATTTTTCGTCGTTCCAATTCCGTGTTGATAACAATATCCAAGGCTATTTTGTCCATTACTGTTTCCATTCTCGGCGGATTTCAAGTGATATTGAAATGCTTTCTTGTAATTTTTTGTGGTCCCTTTACCACTTTGGTAACACAAACCCACGTTAAACTGACCCAATGGATTTTCACCTTCGGCTGATTTCAAATACCAATTAAATGCTTCTTTTTCATCTTTATTGGTTCCAATTCCATAATAATAACAGTCCCCAAGGTTATTTTTACCTTTGTTGCTTCCGCCGTGAGCAGATTCTAAGTACCATTTGAATGCTTCCTTTTCATCTTTTTCGGTTCCAATTCCGCATTGATAACAACGACCAAGGTTACGTTGACCCGAAGCACTTCCACCTTTGGCGGATTCCGTGTACCAATGGAACGCCATCTTTTCATCTTTGTCGGTTCCGATTCCTTTTTCATATAAATATCCAAGATTATTTTGTCCGTTGATGTTTTTATTTTCTGCAGATATCCGATAAATTTGGAATGCTTTCTTTTCATTCTTTGTAACCCCGATTCCATTTTGATAGCAAAATCCAGTATTATCTAGACCTGACGAATTTCCGCCTTTCGCTGATGATAAGTACCAATCGAATGCCTCCTTGTAATTTTTTTTTGTTCCAATTCCATAATAAAAACAATCTCCGAGGTTGTTTTTTCCTTTATTACTTCCGCCTTCAGCAGACTTTGAATACCAGTGAAATGCTTCCGTATAATCTTTCATGGTTCCATTCCCATATCGATAACAATCGCCAGTGTTATTTTGTCCTTCACTGTTTCCTTCTTTAGCAGATTTCAAGAACCATCTAAATGCCGTTTCTTCATCTTTTTCGATTCCCCATCCACGTTTATAACACTCTCCAAGGCCATTCTGCCCTTTACTGTTTCCATTTTCTGCAGACATACAGAAAAACTTGAATGCTTTTTCTTTGTTCTTCGTAGTTCCAATTCCATTTTGATAGCAATACCCTAGACTATACTGACCCCAGGAATTCCCGCCTTCCGCAGACTTTTGATACCACTCGAATGCTTTGGATTCGTTTCTCGCAGTTCCAACCCCATATTGGTAGCATTCTCCAAGATTATTTTGTTCCCAATGATTTCCGCTTTCGGCCAATTTTAAGTACAAAGAAAAATTTGAGTGATTCTAAATACATTAAACGAACATGAAATTGTTGTTGAAAGTGGTTTTAAAAGTTGACCTTAATATCATCTAATGTCTTACCTTAGCTGTTATAGATATACAGTACATGATGGAACTTAAGAAACGATCGTATTTGACATTATTACAAAAATCGATAATTTTTAATGATAAAATTTACATACCAACTGAATTTGAATGATTTTCCCATACTTTTATACGATTTCTGCCTAGACTTTTAGCCTCTAATAAAGTTTTATCGGCAATTTCGAGAAAATTTTCAGGAGATTCTATCAATGAATTTTTTTCGGCAACCCCAATACTAAGTGTAATGGGCAGTGATCTTTTTTTATACGAAAATGGGCGTGCTCTAAACGAAGCTTGAATTTCTTCTGCAATTTTTGCAGCCGACTGAATACAAGTATTCTTCAATAGAATAACAAATTCGTCCCCGCCGTATCGTGCAAAAATATCTTCAGTTCGGAGGTGATGAGTTTTAATGATGGTAACCAACTCTTTTAAAATATGATCTCCCGCTTCATGGCTAATGTTATCATTGATCTTCTTGAGATGATCTATGTCAATAAATATTAGACTTAAATTTAAATTTCTTTGTTCAAATTCATACTTCAAAATCTCTGAAAAATAAGTTAAATTATAAACAGCAGGCAATTTTGAATCTAGTAAATTTTGATATTTGCTGCTAGAAAGATATTTAAAGGTGCAATTGACGCTGTTTCCTATTCTGACTGAGTTATCGTCTCTTAAAGTATGAGGATCGTGAGATCGAATCTTTTTCTCGTTAATAAACGTTCCGAATGAAGAACCCAGGTCAATAAGCAAAATTCTTCCATTATCTTTTTCTATCTTTGCGTGCACCTTAGAAATACCTTGATGTTTGATAATAATATCATTTTTAGGAGCTCTTCCTATAAACGTTTCATGTTTGGCAAGGAAAAAATATTGCGATCCACGGATAACCGCCAAACATGCCTCCTTTTGATTTTCAGTATCATAATTGAGTTCGTTTTTTTCCGTGTAAATTTCAGGGATATAATCTGAATTTCTATATACTGTTCTCCTATCAATCTCATCAAGATTTCTAATTACTTCTTTAATTGATGGTCGTTCATTAGGGTTGTTATTCCATGCGTTGCAATAAAGTTCCTTATAATCTACTGGAGTTTCTTCAATGTGGATTTCACCTTTAACAAAGGTTTCAGAAAAAGGTTTTCCGCTAGAAAGTTCCCAAAACAAAATCCCTAGGTTATAAATATCCGTAGGTTTGTCAAAGAAATCCGTGGCGTCTTTGGAACATACGGAGGAGCCAAATCCTGCAATGACCAATTTTTTGTCCTTATGGACCAATATATTCCGAGAATCCTATAACATCGCAGATATATAAGAATAAAATAAATAAAAGATAAACTAATTAAGGTATGTCTTATTTTTAAAATGAGACGTCTTACTAAATTTCCGTGAACAATATCAGAACTATGAATATGATCTAATCCTTTGGCAATATCTTTTGCCATCGCTATCTTAGTATCCCAGCTCAGATATTTAAAATTTGTACTCAGATATTTTTGGAGATGTTCTTCGCCGACATATTGAAGTACCATGAAATGATTTCCTGATGGAGCTTTATATAATATTAAACGTTAAATGCGCATATAAATTTATAACTACGACGACATGCAATGTGCTCTTATATAAATTCGAAAACGTTTCGAAACAACGACATACTTTTCCCGAAACCTATAAATTTGATTACATTTTCACTGTCGCGGTGTTTTATTTCAAGTAAATTTCGTACCTTTAAATTTCAAAATACGTACGTGATTGATTGACATTATTAGCATTGCATGTAACAGTATATCAAACGAGAAGTTTTGGTCGTGCTTACTTCTCTAATAAAACATTTCTTATCGTCTTTTTGATATTTAAGATAAACATTTTTCTCAACTTCTTTTAGATATTTGACATTACTTGATGATTTTCTTGTACTTTCAAATGCACAATAACTAAACTCCTTAATGAACCCGAGTCTAATTGAATAAGCGAACCAATCCTCCTCGTTAAAATTCATTTTTAAATTACTGGATACTTGAGATAATTCGCCGACATGACAACAACATTTCTCTACATATTAACATTGCATGAGACTCGATTTAGAAAGGCGGCTGAACTATATTTTTTGTCTAATGTGTAAGTACCGTCTTACGTATTTGGAAAGATCGTCATCATACAGAATATCCTTTGAATTATGCTGTTTGTTCATCTTTAGTTAACCTAGGAATTGTGACATTACATTATTTGAGAGTCATTAATTGTAACGCATTACTGTATTCTTTCGAAAATAAAACCCAGTAATTCAAAAGGCACAATTCAAAGTTTATGAAATGTGACAATTTCAAATAATCATTCACACATCAAATCTGAAGATAGCCAGTGAAAGTATAGCATTCAAATAAGGTTGGGCGATCGCACCATTATTGTCGTGGTCAGACTTGAGTTTTGTAATTTGGCATGATACAGCATCACACATCGATAAATTTTTACCAAGAAAGTTTATATTATTAACCGAATCATTGATACATTACCATATTTAGATTTATTAAAGTTCGGCTTCGGTTAACTACTGTCACGGCATTGATAATCGTTAGAATTCGTAATGACAGGCATATTACGTGCAGTCAATATGAAAAATAACTTCCGATGATTTTTATAAATATACATTATGCCCAATTAAATAGAATTTTTATAATTTAAAAACTTCATACGGATATTTGCTTGATCACTTTTAAAATTTGAAAGTCAAATTTTTATATGCTCATGGGTATGAGATGAATTATCAAACTGCTTTGGGCCTTTTTAATATGACTAAAATTTACACGTATGTATGCAACATGTATTTTCATTTTAGATGTTTTCCAATCCTCATATTTTCTTTTGCCAAGTAAATAGGGGCCTGGAACAAATGGTGACTTCAAACAATTACTAATAAAGTTTGTGTTTTATCATGTGTTGGCCGCATATATTGCTAAATTTAATTTTTCACATGACCAAATTTCAATCTCCTTTACACTTGAAGATAAACATTTAATGGATAAATCTATTCTACCATTGAATGCGAATATTGGCCACATATACCGCTAAATTTAATTGATCTCGGGATGTCGAATTCATTCAAGCGAAAAAATTCCAATTGCCTTGTAAAGATGTTGATTTATTTGCATTTCCAAAAATAGAAATTATATGTCTATTCGTCTAATGATAAATTTTGGAATCTTCGGTGTATAATGATAGCTGATAATAACTAACTTTGTCTTGTTTGCGGAAACTCAATATTAATAAGGTAGAGCTTTTTTTTTTTCAATTACGCAGGTATACGATGAGCTCAATTAACGAATTCACTCAAACTATCACACCACCTTCATTTCGCCCAACTTCAGATCAAATACTTGACCAGATGCAGGCTTTCTCTCGTGAGTCGATTTATAAAGGTACTGATTGATTCGATACTATGTGCAAACATAGTAATCTTGTGAGAATTTCATATTAATATATTAAATTCACCAATTTATTTCTTATTTCTAATTAATTTGTGAATTACGGTATTATAGGATTAAAATTTCATAATAATATAATTACTTCGGAAGCAAAAGGATACAGGAATTGTAGACAACAAAAGAATGAATACAATAACAATGGTGGTGGAACTTCCACTATCGTTAATGCCGCCTTCATCGTTCCCTCTTATAAAGAAGTGACTGCAAAAATTTTTGAAATCGGCAAATATATAATAGCTCTATACAAAAATGCGAACATAATAGAAAAATATGTGAGTTTTTCACTATCAGAATCGACGCTGTAATGTATGCGATAAAGAACTCGAGTTTTTTATCAGAAGATAATTATGATTTTGGAATCTTTAAAGAATTCATAAACTGCATGCAAAAAATAAGACGCTATGTTTTCGAAATATCACAATTAGGAAATCTGGGGGCATTTCTTAAAGGAAATAATTTTGAACAAAAGTTTCGAGAACTGGCTATGGAATTTGATGGATATATGCAATATTTTAAATTTGCGCTAGACTTTCACCACAGTAATGGCATAAAAGAATTCACACATATTGTGTAAAACGATGTTGAAAAAGTTAGAAAGGTATGACTATCATTCATTTAGTTCTTTTCACAGTACAAGTGAGATTTAATTTCAAATTTCTATTCTAGTTTCTTTCTCGCATCAAAGGTGTAATTGCGGATTCATCAAATCAAAATATTTTCCCCAAAATTTCAGAAATTTGTGACTCTATCCAAGTATTCACAAAGCAACAGCACTATTCAATTGACTCCCTTCTAATAAGTGAAAAGTTCTTTGAAAAAATTCTTAATATTAGACGGCGAAGAAAAATAACTAGAAGATGTAATCATCTCGGCGAAGAAGTAGCATTTAGAGATTTGTTGTTGTCTATCCCAAACACGAGAAGGAAACATGTCGACAAGCTAAAATTTTTGAGTATTTAAACAAACCACAACACATAGTTAAGTTTTATGGTATCGCAAAGGAAGGACAATAATATTGTATGATAACTGAGTGGAATTTATGAAAACTTTCCAAAATTAGCGTGGCAAAAGAAATTCGAATATGCTCAAGATATTTGTCATGGTCTCATATTCTTAAATGCCGTTAAGGTAAATTCAATTAAATCTAGGGATTTTATTATTCACATAAATTAAACACTAATATATTTCAGATTCTTCATTATGACGTGCGAGGCGCTAACATGCTGGTGGACAAAAATCAAAAGATTAAAATTGCACATTTCGGAATAAACCAAACATTTGACGGAATGAAAACGATATTAGAAAAGTATTGAAAATATGAAGTATATGGCTCCAGAAATATTGAAAAAAGGACAGAAATATCATTATGATATAAAATGTGAGATTTATAAGTACTGTGTTCACGTTATTACTTACTGTTTGTTGTGGGATGCCAAATGCAAACGTTTTCGCACATTATTATTAGTTTTGGAGTACTCCTATGGGAGATAACTGAGGAAAGAATACCTTGTTCACGCATCGACGACGAATTTTTAATTCACGATGATTTAGTCAAAAACATTCGAGAACCCCTGTTTCCCAGCACGCCCGAGATATGGAAAAACGTCGTAAAGAATGGTAAATGCGCATAAATAATTTTTGTATGAGTAACAAATATACAGTATACGTACGTGATATCGAATACTATATACGTATTTTTTTTTCTAGCCTCAGAACTCGAGCCGAAACTTCGTCCGTCGCTTTCAGAAATTTTTACCACGCTTTACAAGTACCATGAAATATCACAACTAAAGCAAAGTAATTAATGACCACAAGTAAAAAACAGATATAGAATCTGATAAACGAGATACGCTTGACACTACTCCCAGCTACATTATGAGTGTTCAAGATGTAATCAATAAATATAAATAAGAAAATAAGAAGAAATCCTGAGAATGATTTTCTATCATGCTGAAAATGTTGATATTCGTGCAAAGTTTTGAGTTGAGTATTATCTTTACAATTCCGAAATTGAATTTCAAGATAATATGGAAGAGAATCCTATAAATATTTTTAGTTGAAATAACATTATTATATACCATCAATATCAATGCTAGTATTTAGTAATTCAATATCACTTTTTGATATTTTACTATCTATAACTTCCAATATCCATTAGCTAACATATTTAAATCAGTTAAACTACTTATTATTAATTATACTAATATTGAAGAAGCTACTGATATAATAATAATAACAAAGCTTTATGTAACAGTTCTTTTAAAAAACTGTTAATAAATTGCAATTATTAAAAATTCTAGATAATATTATAAAATTTATATATGAACTCGGTTTTCCAATAAAACCTATATATTAATCATTATGTTTAGAAATTAAAAAGTTAAAAAACAATTTTTTAATCTGCTAATTAAAGAACTTACTAAATATAGCAATTTTTATTTAATATTTTCATAATTTTTATATATAGGAAGAAAAAAATTTTATAAATTTATATAAATATAAAGCTATAAGCAACTAGCATTATAATAAAGAATACTATGAATTGAAAAATAACAACTATTAAACTAAAATCAAAAATTTTTTAAAGATTGACATGTACTTTGATTATTATTAGATTCAAATAATATCTATAAGATTACTTTTCAAATTAAATATGAATACTAAAAATTCATGTTTTCTTTTTTATCTAATAAATATTTTTACAACCTTTTGAACTTGATAAATAATAAATAATATTTTTATATTATTCAAATAAATTTATATTTATATATATTAATAATGTTTTGTTTATAATTAAATTAATAATATATATTTTAAATTTTTTAAACTATTAACACCAAGAATTATAAATTTATATATACAATTTTTTTATTAATTGTTTTTAACTACTTTATAAATAAATTAAAGAAAAGATATATATAACTTTTATTATAATTATAAAATTAATAATTATAATATAATAAATATTTATATAGAATAATTAGATTATTAAGCCGCTGATCTCTTGACCACACACAAAAAAGATGTTCACAAGAAATTTTTTATTTCTTTGCTAATAAAGTCTTAACACTATCCT